TCTACCAACACAGAAATTAGCTGGGTGTGGTCCCAGCTACTCAGGAGTCTGAGGCAGAAGAATCGCTTAAACCTGGGAGGAGAAGGTTGCAGTGAGCTGAGATCATGCCGCTGCACTCCAGCCTGGGCAACAGAGCGAGACCCAGACTCTGTCTCAAAAAAAAAAAAAAAATTAACCAGGTGTGGTGGCGCATGCCTATAATCACAGGTACTCGGGAGGCTGAGGCAGGAGAATTGCTTGAACCTGAGAAGCAAAAGTTGCAGTGAGCCGAGATCATGCCACTGCACTCTAGCCCAGGTGACAGAACAAGACACTATCTCAAAAAAAAAAAAAAAAAGAAAAGAAAAATGGCCAGGCATAGTGGCTTATGCCAGTAATCCCAACACTTTGTGAGGCTGAGGCTGGAGGATCTCCTGAGGTCAGGAGTTCGAGACCAGCCTGACCAACATGGCAAAACCCCATCTCTAACTAAAAATACAAAAATTAGCTGGGTGTGGTGGTGCACGCCTGTAACCCCAGCTACTCGGGAGGCCAAGGAGGAGAATCGCTTGAACCTGGGAGCCAGAGTTTGCAGTGAGCCAAGATTGTGCCATTGCACTCCAGCCTGGGTGACAAGAGCGAGACTCCATCTCAAAAAAAAAAAAAAAAAAGGAAACATTAAACGTTTTTCTTAAATGTTTACACAGCCCACAAGTGGAGTAGCAAATCAACGCAGACACTATAACATGGTAAGTACAATATACAGGAGGAGTGGCCCCAAGTCAGGATAAATTGCAAATGTCTATGGCAGAGAGGTGGGCAAAGTAAAACCCATTGACTACTAGCTCCCGTCTTCAGTTGCTACCACACTGATGCAACAAAACATTACGGAATCTAAACTAAAGTTCTCATATGGCACAAACAGCCCTCTTCTGTTCAAGTACTGCTTTTGTCACACTTACCAAGAGAAAAAAAAAAAATTAAGCCCTAGAGTTCATATAAATATGGCATATTGAGCCAGTAAATACAGTTTACAAGTAATTATAATTTACATGCAGTACCCAGTAGGGATTTACAGTATTATAGAGCTGGGGGTTGGAATCCTGCCAGCTTCACCAACAGGGATAAGACACCACCATCTGCAGCTCTAGACTTAGAAAATCTGTTTACCAGCATGGTCCCGGGACTCCTGGCTTTTGTGCCTGCTGATTTGTTTACATAGCATAGCACTGAAGGAACTTTGTCAAAATCAACAGGCCTCATGTATGGTCTGCCTGTTTTGTGGCCCTAAAACTGCTATTGCCATGTGAGAGAGAGGCCTTATCCTCTCTGTGCTAGTGGGGGGATTAACAGCATAAACTGAGCAAATGTTGGCCAGGGCAGGTTCAAGGTTAGGACCTACAGTTGGCTCAATCTAACATGTGAAAATACTGTACAATGCATTCAAATAGTACTTCATACTTGTCAAAACTCAATTTCACAGTCATTGCTCTATCAGTGTCACAACTCTGATACAACACGAGGTATTAGTAGCACCATTTTACAGGTGGTCAAGGACATGAATCAGTAGTGTTCAGTAGTTCTTAGATAAAAACAAAGCTATTCTTCTATTAAATTGACATAATAATTGCACATATTTATGGGCTACAGTGTGATGTTTTGATGCATGTTTACAATGTGTAATGATCAAATCAAGGTAATGAGCATATCATCACCTCAAATAATTTTCATTTCTTTGTGTTGGGAACAGTCAAGATATCCTCTTCTAGCTATTTGAAAATAAACAAAAAAAAAATGATTGTTGGCTATAACCACCCTACAGTGTTATAGAACACCAGAACTTATTCCTCCTGTCTAGCTGTACTTTTGTATCCGGTAACCAACCTCTGGCTATCCACCCCTCGCTGTTACCCTTCTCAACCTCTGGCAACCACTATTCAACTCTCTACTTCTGTGAGATCAGCAATTTTAGCTTCCACATATGAATGAGAGCAGGCAGTATTCTTCCCCACTTCTTCTCACTGCCCCCACTACCCTTCTCAGCCTCTAGAAGCCATTCTTCTACTCTCTACCGCCATGAATACAATTGTTTTAATTTTTAGCGTTCACAAATGAGTGAGAACAGTGTGAAGTTTGTCTTTCTGTGCCTTGTTTATTTCACTTACTATAATGTCCTCTAGACTCATCCATGTTGCCTCGTATGACAGGATTTCGTTCCTTTTTATGCTAAAAAGTATTCTTTTGTGTATAAACACCACATTTTTAATTCATTCATCTGTTGATGGAAAGCTAGGTTGATTTCATGTCTTGGCTGTTGTGAATAGTGCTGCAATGCACATGGGAGGGCAGACAGCTCTTTGACATACTGATTTACTTTCCTTTGGGTTCATACCTAGTAGTGGGATTGCTGGGTCATATGGTAGTTCTAGTTTTAAGGACAAAGCTATTATTGATGATTCTTAATAATAGTCAGGCTTGCTTTGGCTAAAGAATGAATTCACTCAAGGGTGTCAGTTAAGTCACAAAGAATTAAGAATGATAAAGTTATCAAATGATGATATTTACCATGTTACCAGGTAACAGGGGAAGAATCATTAATGCCAGGAGGCATCCTCAGAACTAGAACAATTAATTCAGCAGATCCTTCAGGAATCTGGAGTCATAGCAACCACAACAAGGTTCATGATTGATTGATTGCAAAATGGGCCTAATCCTCCAACCTTTCCTGTACCCAAGCCCCCTGCAACACGACTTTGCAGCTCCTTCCACTGAGGCGAAGCCTGTTTCTCCACCTCTTGAATCCCTGCCCAATACTGTTTTCCCACTTCCACTTTGATACAACACCACTCCCAGGAAACCTTTTGCATTCTTATTTCTGTCTCAGCACTTGAGACTCCAACCTGTAACACTAGGAATACAAAAATAAATAAGATAGGCCGACAGTCCCTGCTTTTAAGGAAAGCAAATAAATGTTTGTAGAATAAAATGTTTAAAAAAAAAAGAGTATCATTTCCTGTGTTCTGATACTCTAGCTATATTTTCAGAAACCAAACTAGGATGTAAAGATCTATAACTTCAAATGAAGACATCAGGACCTAAAACTGAGGTGTATAAACTTTCTATGGTTGTGAAACTTGGATTTTTAAAAATAGGCCTTGTGTTATTCTGTCTTCACATTGCTATAAAGAACTACCTGAGACTGGGTAATTTATGAAGAAAAGAGGTTTCATTGAATCGTAGATCCACAGGTTTAACAGGAAGCATGACTGGGAAGCCTCAGGAAACTTACAATCAGGGCAGAAAGCAAAGGTGAAGCCAGGCACATCTTACCGTGAAGGAGCAGGAGAGAGAGAGGGAGCGAGTGGGGAGGTGCCACACTTTAAAACCAACAGATCTCCTGAGAACTCACTCACTATCACGAGAACAGCACGCAGGAAATCTGTCCCCATGACCCAGTTGCCTCCCACCAAGCCCCTCCTCCAACATGTGGGGATTACAGTTCAAAATGGGATTTGGGTGGGGACAGAGCCAAATCACATCAGGCTTCCAAAGCAAGGTCAAATAATCTTCACTTGAGTAATCAGATATCATCACTTTATATATCCTTTACCTAATTCTGGACAAAAATGTAGTGTCTTTGCATTGTCCAGAAAATACCATGGTTCCACTGACCACCTTCTTTTATAATACATCTTTGCCTTCTTCGGCTACGAATATTTAAATCAAATTGGCAAATTATGCCACCGAGGACACTGAAAAAAATGTAGACAAGGACTCTATTTCACCAGGGCAATGATCCCAGCGGAAGCTTCCAGTTCAGGCAAATTCATGAGCTGGGACTGTCTCCCGGTTATGTTACCTTCAAATCAGAACTGATCCTGTCTTTGTAGCAACATATACATTTACCCTGTCAACCTGGCAAAATTGCTTGAATACCTACTATGTAAAAAGTGTAGGCATCATTGCATTGTACAGCAATACATGCAGCAATATGAAAGAAACAAATATAGACCAGGCATGGTGGCTCACGCCTGTAATCCCAGCACTTTTCAGAGGCCAAGTGGGCATATCAGCTAAGGTCAGGAGTTTGAGACTAGCCTGGCCAACATGGCGAAACCCCATTTCCACCAAAAATACCAAAAAAAATTAGCCCGGTGTGGTGGCACCTGCCTGTAATCCCAGCTACTCAGGAGGCTAAGGCAGGAGAATCACTGGAACCCGGGAGGCAGAGGTTACGGTGAGCTGAGATAGCACCACTGCACTCCAGCTTGGGTGACAGTGTGAGACTCAGTCTCAAAAAAAAAAGAAAAGAAAAGAAACAAATATAGAAACACCATCTATCTGGCATAAGCAGGCAAAGAAGTGCACCAAAAAAGATAATTTCTCAAGGAACCGAAGCTTATGACTTTGAGCACCAGGATCCAACCAACTCCACATCCCCACTCTTACCACCTGGGCCACCATCCCTTGCCTGTAGATCTGTAAAATCTCCCAACCGCTCTCCTCCACCCACGCAATCCTTGGGAGGCCAGAGAGGATTTGAGTCAGATCATGCCAGTCCTCTTGTTAAGACTGTCCAGTGGTGCTCCAGTTCTCTCCACGTAAAATCTGGCAGGCCAGGGATAAAGCCAAAGCTCCACTACATCCTGCTATGGTATCCTAGCCCCTGGTCATGCCAACGGTGGGCATGAAAAACCAAGTTGCTTCACAACTTATGCAGCCAAAAAGCCCCACAGCTCACTGGTTGGGTTTCTCTCCAAGTTTCGCACTCTGTTCTTGCTAGATTTCTGCTCACTATTCTAGACTGCAATGGGCCATGGAGGACCCACACTCCTGCTCCCATCTCCATGAGTTTACTCCCAGTAAGGGCTCCTCTAGCAGCTTGGGGGTGGGTAAAAATGGGGCCTATGTGCTTTTATATAGAGCAGTGCTTATCATTTTTTAGCTAAGGCATGTAGAGATTTTGTGATCACCCTGTGTGGCCCTAAATATATCCACGTAAAGCAGAAATCAGAGTCTACCTGACAACTATGGTGGACATTGGAGGCTCTTTCGTGTTTCTCGTCAGCAAGTGACATTTCTTCCACCCGTCAGTTACATTGTTGATGATTTTTCTTTTCCACAGGGGCATTCTGTTCGGCTTTGGGGTCAGATTAATCTCTTTTGGCAATTCATGTCTTGCTAAGATTCTTTCCAAGCCAGAGAGCTCAGGATTCTCACCTGGTAATAGAATAAGCATTAATACATTCAATGTTCCTCTCCATCTTTGCATAGCAAGAGTTAACAAGGCAGATTTGAAAACATATATATGCAGCTTGATAATCCCTATTTAGCTTTGTCATTCCTTTATTCCAACAATATTACTGGGCACCATTTAGATCTTAGCCTGGTCCTAGACATCTAGCAGATACATTGTAAGTAAATAAAAGAATGAACAAGGCCAGGCATGGTGGCTCATGCCTGTAATCCTAGCACTTGGGAGGCTGAGGCAGGCGGATCATGAGGTCAGGAGATCGAGACCATCCTGGTTAACATGGTGAAACCCCGTCTCTACTACAAATATAAAAAATTAGCCGGGCGTGGTGGCAGGCGCCTGTAGTCCCAGCTACTCGGGAGGCTGAGGCAGGAGAATGGTGTGAACCCGGGAGGCGGAGCTTGCAGTGAGCTGAGATCCGGCCACTGCACTCCAGCCTGGGCGACAGAGCGAAACTCCGTCTCAAAAAGAATAAAAAAATAAAAAAGAACGAACAAACAAGCAAACAAGCAGGCAGGCTGGGACCACACAAATAGAGTTGGTTATGTGTGCATTCTCAAACTAAGGGCAAGTTACATACAATTATTATTATTATTGTGATTCTTATTTTCCCTTTAATTGCATACTTAATTGGAGATGCACATTTTGAAGCTTCCCGGAAGAAATAGAGTGAATGTTAACATTATTGTCAGGCCACGTAACTTGGGGCCCCCTTTTACTGGTGATTTTGCCTGAGCAAGGGTTACAACATGGATGGAACTGAAAACAACAGCATGCTCTGTCAGTTAGGATGTGGGAGTGTAACTTACTGTTCTTTTTGATTCCACAAAATTCATTTCTGGCCAGAAATGAACTGTTTTTTCTTGCTCTGTTATAAGTGTGTCTATTTTCAGCTATGTCAGTGGGAAATGCCTTCCTTCTTTTGGGTGTTCCAATAACTGAGACTTGAGGTTTGGATTGTTGCAGCCTGCTGTAGGAACTCTGGATGGCCAGTGGCACAGTTACAGCGCATGGTAGAGCTGCTTGGAGATGAACTCAATACCAGAGGGGCTTAGATCCTGTGTTATCAGAAATGGAATAGCATCCCTCCCTGGTCAGCCAGCACCTCCGTGAGAGCTCCACGATGGAGTGCGGTGGTGCAATCATACCTCATTCCAGCCTCGACCTCCTGTGCTCAAGCAATCCTCTGACCTCAGCCTCCTCAGCAGCTGGGACTACAGGCATGCACCACCACACCCAGCTAATTTTTGTTACTATTTGCAGAGATGGGGGTCTCATTTTGTTGCCTAGGTTCATCTCATTCCCAGCTTCAAGTGATCCTCCTGCCTCAGCCACCCGAAGTTAACTTTATATTTAAAATACAAAAGAAAAACCTGGGGTTGTTTTTTGTTTTTTGTTTTAATTATGGGTGTTTAGTTCTTTTTCTTTCTTTCTTCACGTAATCATTTCTGGGTAACCAATATAGAGTAATATAGGCAAAGCATCCTTCAGGTGAAGAGGAGATTGACAGGAAAAGGAACAAAACCTATTTTTAAGGTCAAAAGAAATTTCTTCTGGAAGGAAGGCTTTCGACCCAGCAGCAGCAAGACAGCAGTCTCCATGTTTAAATTCTTGGTCTGATGGATGAAAGTCAGAGAAATAGGGCCATGTCTACAGGATGCATATGCAAGGAAATCACTATATGTTTGGAAATGGCATCTTGGCAATGGAGCAAACTTTTATTTATTTTTATTTTTTTATTTTTATTTTTTTGAGGCGGAGTCTCGCTCTGTCGCCCAGGCTGGAGTGCAGTGGCGCGATCTCGGCTCACTGCAAGCTCCGCCTCCCGGGTTCCCGCCATTCTCCTGGCTCAGCCTCCTGAGTAGCTGAGACTACACGCGCCCCGCCACCGCGCCCGGCTAATTTTTTGTATTTTTAGTAGAGACGGGGTTTCACTGTGGTCTCGATCTCCTGACCTTGTGATCCGCCCGCCTCGGCCTCCCAAAGTGCTGGGATTACAGGCTTGAGCCACCGCGCCCGGCTGGAGCAAACTTTTAGTGATGAATTCAAGACCTCAAAGGCCAATGTGTTCCCAATGACTGACTGGACTCAGCCTGAGGCCAGGTCCCTGAAGGCACAAACTCAGGACTCTGAGGGGTCATTTCTTACCCCTTAATGCCATTCACCTCAGCCGCATGAACCTCCTTAAACTGGCTTCCAACCATAGCAAAGAATCACTGCACCCAAATACCTCTGAAACAAAGGCACCCCGCTGCTGCTTGGCAGTTGCACATGGCAGGAATTACCAGCTGCTAAACTTGTATGGACGTCTATCGCCGTCTACATTGGGAAGCTACGGAGACAAAATCTAAATCTACATAGAATGGGAATGTCTCTAGAAAATCGAAACCCATTTCTCCAACTTCACATAAATAATTACTGCATTTTTCAATGTTAATGTTGCATTTTAATTACAAAAGTAAAAGGTTTCCATTGGAATAATTAAAATGAAACAACTCAGCAAAGTCTACACAGTAAAAAGGGGAAGTTTTGCTTCGTTTTCCTTCTCCAAGCTCTATCCTTTCTCTGGAGGTAGCCGCTGTCCTGAATTTCCTAAGTCTCCTTCAAAACTCTCTTCTATGCATTTATAGACACACATATATATGTACACATGTAGAGTTTTCTTTTGGCATACATGGATCCATACTGTGTATCTTCCTTTGCAGCTTATTAAAACTCTATAATATGTACTGGAGATATGTTAATGTCAACCTTCTTTTTAACAGTATTCCACTGTATGGATATATGCCTTCATTTAATTATTCAGCTACTGGATGTCATAGGTTGTTTAAATTTCTGACTATTATAGACAATATTTCAGTGCATGGCCATGTTTATCTATTTTTGTGCTCAGGTACAAGTTATTTCTGTAGGATAATAACTAGAAGTGGAATTGCTAAGTTGAAGGACATGTACATGTAACAGGATGTGAAAATATACCTTTTTCTGTTGGGTCTGTTTCCTCCAAGGCCCCAAAGTCTGAGAAAACTCGAGTAGGTGCCAGACACCTATTCATGCACAAGACATCCATCCATATGTGAAAAAACGGAGCATTCATTCAGGATTCCTTAAGGCACTTGAGGATTTCTTTAGGCACAGAGTTGGGGCAGTGCTGTGTACTATGTCATTCCCCTTCCTGCTCTTGGCTTTAAGGGGACTTTAGAGAAGTACCTGGGGAATGGGACTATGTCTCCTAACACTGGTGCGTCAGTCTCCTACGGCCGTCCTAACAGTACCACAAAGGGGGTCGCTTGAAACAACAAATTCATTGTTTCACAATTCAGGAGGCCGGAAGTCAGAAGTCAAGGTGGCAGCAAGGCCATGCTGAAGCCTTGAGGGGAGAATCTGTCTTTGTCTCTTCCTAGTTTCTGGAGTCTGCCTGCAATCCTTGGTATTCCTGGACTGTGGATGTATCGCTCCCATCTCTGTCTCTACTGTCACAAGAGGTGTTTCTTTCTTCTTATAAGGACACCAGTCATACTGGATGAAGAACCCTCTCTATACTTATTATGACCTCATCTAAGTTTAATGACTTCTGCACCCTGTAAAGACCCTATTTCCAAATCTAGTCACATTCTGGGCCCCTGGGAGTTAGGACTTCCATGTGTCTTGTTGAGAGACAATATATGTTGTTGAGGGACATCTATGTATTTTGTTGAGCCCATAACACCTGGAAACATAACGGTGAGTGGCTGGGATCACAGCTGCCTGTGGCCACAGAGAAATGAGGGCAGTGTTGGAAGCCAACTGTGCTTTCATTAACCGGGTGAAGGTATGGGGAGCAAGGGCACAGATTTTCTATGAGCTAAATGTAAACGCCAGCTGGGCTTAGTGGCTCATGCCTGGAATCCCAGCACTTTGGGAAGCCGAGGTGGGTGGATCACTTGAGGTCAGGAGTTTGAGACCAACCTGGCCAACATGGCAAAACCCTGTGTCTACTAAAATTCAAAAATTAGCCGGGTGTGGTGGCACATGCCTGTAATCCCAGCTACTCGGGAGGCTGAGGCAGGAGAATCGCTTGAACCCGGGAGGCGGAGGTTGCAGTCAGCCGAGATCACACCACTGTACTCCAGCCTGGGGGACAGAGTGAGACTCCGTCTCAAAACTAAAGAAACTAACTAAATAACTAACTAAATAAATAAAAATGTAAACCCCTTAGAAAATACAGTTGACCCTTGAACAACATGGAGGTTAGGGGCTCTGACCCCTGCCCAGTTGAAAATAAGCATATAAGTTTCTTTTGTTAAAGAGTCTTGGCTGGACTCGGTGGCTCACGCCTGTAATCCCAGCACTTTGGGAGGCCGAGGCGGGTGGATCACAAGGTCAAGAGATCGAGACCATTTGGCCAACATGGTGAAACCCCGTCTTTACTAAAAATACAAAAATTAGCCGAGAGTGGTAGCGCATGCCTGTAATCCCAGCTACTCGGGAGGCTGAGACAGAGAATTGCTTGAACGCGGGAGGTGGAGGTCGCGGTGAGCCGAGATTGCACCATTGCACTCCAGCCTGGGCAACAAGAGCAAAACTCCATCGCAAAAAAAAAAAAAAAAAAAGTCTTGCTATGTTGCCCGGGCTGGTCTCGAACTCCTGGGCTCAAGCGATCCTCCTGCCACAGCCTTCCGAGTCGTTGAGTGTGGTAGTCTAGCACCTGTACCACGCCACCACATCCAGCTACTTTTTTGACTTTTGATTCACTCAAAACTTTTACTAATAGCCTACTGTTGACCGGAAGCCTTACTGTTAACATAAACAGTTGATTAACACATATTGTAAATGTTATATGCATCATACCTCACATTCTTAAAGTAAGCAAAAAAATGTTATTAAGAAAATCATGGCCAGGCGCAATGGCTCATGCCTGTAATCCCAGCACTTTGGGGGGCCGAGGCGGGTGGATTGCTTGAGGTCAGGAGTTCAAGACCAGCCTGACCAACATGGTGAAACCCCATCTCTACTAAAAATACAAAAATTAGCCGGGCATGGTAGCAGGTGCCTGTAATCCCAGCTACTTGGGAGGCTGAGACAGGGAATCACTTGAAACCGGGAGGTGGAGGTTGCAGTGAGCCGAGATAGCACCACTGCACTCCAGCCTGGGAGACAGAGCAAGACTCTGTCTCAAAAAAAAAAAAAAAAAAAAAGAAAAGAAAATAATAAGGAAAAGAAATACATTGACACCACTGTATTTATCAATACTATAAGCTTACACCATCTGTTTACAAGAAAAATTGTCTGTCTGAAGTGGCAGGCAACTATTCAATATACAGTACATATCAAGCAACTCAACTTTTTCTTATAACATCCTGATTTTTCTCTGCTTCTTGGGAGTACTTCCAGCATCACTAATGGCACTTTGTGTGTGTCTCATGGTGTTATTCAAGTTTTATGGTATTGCACTAAACACACAAAAAATGCATGAGAACTGTAAAATCACTTTACTGTGATATGTAATTTACTAGAGAGATGAGCTGCTCACACAGAGATGACTGGCATCACATGGCATTTTAAGAGGCTATTCACACCACTTGACCTCACAGCAAGAGCAACGGGAGGTGGCTATGAAATTACTACAGCACTACGGTATTGCTACAGTTACTTTTCTACAGTTAGGATTTAATACTGCATCTTTTTTTTTTTTTTTTTTTTGAGGTGGAGTTTTGTTCTTGTTGCCCAAGCTAGAGTGCAATGGCATGATCTCAGCTCACTGCAGTATCTGCCTCCTGTCTTCGAGAGTCTCCTGCCTCAGCCTCCTGAGTAGCTGGGATTATGGGTGCCAACCACCACACCTGGCTACTTTTTGTATTTTTAGTAGACACTGGGTTTCAACATGTTGGCCAGGCTGGTCTTGAACTCCTGCCCTCAGGTGATCTACCCCCTCGGACTCCCAAAGTGCTGGGATTACAGGCATGAGCCACTGTGCCTGGCCTAATACTGCATCTTTATTCTCATTTACATTTCCCTTGACTGTGAATGACACCAAATACAGTCTGTAAGTGCTTGTGTAAGTTTTTATAAATTTTAACTTTTCCTAATAGGTTTGTGTACATTTTATGGTAGTAAATGATAAAGTAGACTAGTATCTACATATATTCTATGCAGTCACGACATTCCTTTTTCTCTCTTTTTTTTTTTTTTGAGTCTCACTCTGTTGCCCAGGCTGGAGTGCAGTGACACAATCTCAGCTCGCTGCAAACTCCACCTCCCAAGTTCAAGCAATTCTCCTACCTCAGCCTCCCAAGTAGCTGGGATTACAGGCGTGTACCACCACACCTGCCTAATTTTGTGTTTTTAGTAAAGAGAGGGTTTCACCATGTTAGTCAGACTGGTCTCGAACTCCTTACCTCAAATGATCCACCCGCCTCAGCCTCCCAAAGTGCTGGAATTACAGGCATGAGCCACCATGCCCACCACCCTAATTTTTTCTTAATTTTTTTTATTTCTGGACTATATGATTGGTCTACAAATTTTTTCAAATTGTGGCAAATCTTCAAAAAAATTTCCAATATATTTATTGAAAAAAATCCACCTATTGTTGCGGGATCAGGAGGACCAGAGAGAGACCTTGGGGTGTATACAGAAGGATATGTTTATTATCGAGTGCACTTAGACCCAGCAGATTTAACGTCCAAAGACTGGGCGCAGAACAAAGACAGTACTTGACTTTTATACTTCATAAAAGGGGGTGGGCTAGCTTGAAGCAAGCTTACAGTGGCGTGAAAGCAGGGATAGAGAGGCAGGATAAAGACAGTTAATTAAGTTGTAACAGGTTCATAACTCAGGATTACACATGACCGTTGCCAAGCAACCCAATGTCTGTTACCTAGATTTTGCCTAGGCATGGGCTTACCCTATAACCTTCATTATGGCGCCCAGGTGGCCACAACTCAGGCCTATTTAGAGGCTCATGACCTTCACTCTACTGCTTAGACAAAACAGAATTACTTTAAGTTACTATTTACAGAGAACAGGAATCTATAAACTTATTCCATAAAACAAAGGAAAATTTAATTTTCTTCTCCCTGTGTTGAGGGAGTGCTGGGAGTTTCCGGAGCACATTAGATAGTATGACTAAAACTTTTTCTGGGTCTGGGCTGTGCCTGTTGCTGCCTTTGGGAAAAGTCAGCCTAATCCAGGAAAGTTTATTTCTTTTTTTTGTTGATTTTATTTTTCTTTAATCTCCTGCCACACCATAAGTGGACCTGCACAGTTCAGATGAGCTGTTCAAGGGTCAGCTGTAGTCGTTTGGCGCCTGCTTGAATAGGAGGATCTCAGGAGGGTTTCCGTCAAAAGATGATGCAATTTCCGTTGAAATAGGATGGAAGTGAATCTTACAAAAGCTGGGGAAGGCGGTGCTATGGTCTGAATGTTCATGCCCCTCAAAATTCATATGTTAAATCCTAACCTCCAAGGTGACGGTATTACATGGTGGGTAGGCCTTTAAGAGGTGATCAGGTCATGGGGGCGGTGCCTTATAAACTAGGCCTGAGAGAGATACCCACCCCAGCCCCTTCCACTACATGAAGACGCAGCAAGAAGGTGCCATCTATGAACCAGAAAGTTGTCTCCAAACATGGTATCTGCCTTGATTTTAGACTTCCCAGCCACCAGAACTATGAGAAATAAATTTTTCTGTTTATAAGCTACCCAGTCTATAGTATTTGTTGTTATTTTTGTTTTTTTTTGAGCGGAGTCTCGCTCTTGTCGCCCAGGCTGGAGTGCAATGGCACGATCTCGGCTCACTGCAACCTCCACTTCCAAGGTTCAAGCGATTCTCCTGCCTCAGCCTCCCGAGTAGTTGGGATTACAGGCACCCATCACCACGTCCGACTGCTTTTTGTATTTTTAATTGAGATGGGGTTTCACCATGTTGGCCAGGCTGGTCTTGAACTCCTGATCTCAGGTGATCTGCCCATCTTGGCCTCCCAAAGTGCTGGGATTACAGGCGTGAGCTACGGCTCCTGGCTTCGGAATTGCATCTTAATCTCTGTGGCAGCTGCTATTTTGTTTTCTAAGTTCATGAGCACAGGTGGCTGCCTCTACCTTTGTCTTCCACTTAAGCAGGAACAATTTAGGAAGCAGACTCCACCCAATGCTGCAAATTGGCCCCATTATCAATGACCCCGACAGAATTTCAGGAGTGGCAGGCCACTCCAAACTGCACAAAGTACAGGTTGCTTATAATCCCCAGGAGAAAAGAAAATATCCAGCTTCTTCGCGGTGCAATCATGGCCATAGGAGGAAGGACTAGCAGGAAACAGAGCAAAGGAACAAAGTTCAAAGCCTGCCCTCTTTCCACGTGGAAGTTCTCTCCCTAATCTTAAAATCAAATATAAAGCTTAAATTGTAAATTGAGCAGCATTTCCCTCTCAGTACCCTTTCCATTTTCCCACAGGTAAGCTTTGCCTAAAGAAGAGGGTCAGGCCTGGCCGTGTGCAGTGGCTCACGCCTGTAATCCCAGCACTTTGGGAGGCTGAGGCAGGCAGATCACGAGGTCAGGAGATCGAGACCATCCTGGCTAATTCAGTGAAAACCCGTCTCTACTAAATATACAAAAAAAAAAAAAAAAAACTAGCCGGATGTGGTGGCAGGCACCTGTAGTCCCAGCTACTCAGGTGCCTGAGGCAGGAGAATGGCATGAACCCAGGAAGCGGAGCTTGCAGTAAGCTGAGATTGCGCCACTGCACTCCAGCCTGTGTGACAGAGACAAACTCTGTCTCAAAAAAAAAAAAAAAAAAAAGAAGAGGGTCAGGCCTAACTTGGCTCACAAAAGACTATTTATGCAAAAGGAACATGAAGAAGCAATGGATAATCAGCACATGAGTATATTCTGGAATAAGCTTGGAAGCCCATGGATGGGGACATGTGTCTAGAGGACCAATCACCCCGACAATGTAAAGAACGAGTTCTGACCGGGTGCAGGGGATCCCACCTCGAATTCCAGCACTTTGAAGGCAAAGGCGGGCGGATCACTTGAGCTTGGGAGTTTGAGACCAGCCCAGGCAACATGGCGGTGTGGGGGGCTGGGGGCATCTCTACCAAAATTTAAAAATTAGACATTGTGGTGGCAATGCACCTGTAGTCCCAGCTACTGGGGAGGTCGAGGTGGAGGATCACATGAGCCCAGGAGTTTGAAGCTGTGGTGAGCCATGATTATTGCACTCCTGCACTCCAGCCTGGGGGATAAAGCGAGAGCCCCATCTCAAAAAATCATAAAAAGAAACTAAGTAAAATAAAGAGTAAAAGTTCTTACTTACGGCTTAAAGTAGAGGCAGTTTGTATCAAGATAAAGTGTATGCTTACTGAAAAGAACTCATGCCCACCCTCCACCCACATACATTTTTTCTTGTCCTCTTCACTCCTGTATGAATAAAGCGTCTCCATTAGGTGATTAGGAAGCAGCTTGTGGAGGTTAGACAGTGTGTCAAACGTGTGACACAAAACTTCTGGCTGGGCATAGTTTTTCGGCTTCTTACACTTGTCAAGGAGTGAAAATTTCATCATGCTGGAGCTGCTGCTGGCTGTTCTCATGATACCGGTTGCATCACAGAGAAGAACAAACTGAGAACATGAGGAGTGGAGGGATGTGCAATTGTTCTCCTGGCAAGCTTTCCTCCATCTCAAAGATGCTTTGAGATCTCTTACTGCCTCGCATTCCGAGAGTCACAATGGCCCAGGCATTGGTCCGGAACCCTGAGTGCTCGTCCTACGTTTTCAAAGCAGACAAAACCAGCCCATTGAAAATATCCTGCCAAGCCATTCAGGGATTTTTGGCAGAAACTCCAGTCTTGTGTCTGGACATGGACCATTTCTGGGGAAAACTGAGAGCTTTGCTAAAAGGAAGAGGGGAAAGTGGGGGTGCGCATATCCGGTGATATTTTCCCATCTGGTACTTTGTAGAAGCCTTGCTCCCAGTATGTACCTAATTAAGGCTCCACAGACCTACCAGGCCCAAAGAGAGAGTGGTTACATCAGTGCAGTCCTCAGCATAACCGAGGAAAGAGCCTCATCGTCCAAAACTGAGCAAATGCCCAGATTAACACAGGTAAGAAGCCAAACTGCTTCTTATGTTCTTATCCAAACTAATACCAAGAAAACAAAGTAAACAAATGCTCAACTGGAGCTTTCCCGGTAAGAAGCCATTCTTCATTGTAGACCAAAACGCACAGAATAGAAGTATTAAATAATCTTAAATCACCACACCTGATAGCACAGCCCAGCGCAAGATAGAAGCGGCTAAGAACTACTATCAGATTTAGAACAAAAATGCAAATAATAGAGTTTGTTACAGCTACTTTTAGATTTCAGCATGCTTTACCAGGAGCCAGGTTCCCCGTAATTGTTCTACTCTTCATGAACCAGCTAGAGAAGCACATTGCAGGTTGGTGAGAAGCAGAGAAGGCGTGTAAGCCTAGCATGCTATGGCAAATCTGGGAGCTTGGACCAGCTTTTCACCAACCTTAAAAACATTTGGCCAAGACTATTAAAGCATCATTATTATACCATATGACACATTAGTGGCCAGAGCGGCAAATATAAAATTCCATTCATATATGCATACATATAGATCTATAGATGTATTTTTTTTTTTTTTGAGATGGAGTTTTGCTCTTGTTGCCCAGGCAGGAGTGTAATGGCGTGATCTCGGCTCACCGCAACCTCTGCCTCCCAGGTTCAAGCAATTCTCCTGCGTTGGCCTCCCAAGTAGCTGGGATTACAGGCATGCGCCACCACGCCCAGCTAATTTTGTATTTTTAGTAGAGATGGAGTTTCTCCATGTTGGTCAGGCTGGTCTTGAACTCCCGACCTCAGGTGAGCCGTCCACCTTGGCCTCCCAAAGTGCTGGGTTATAGGCCTGAGCCACCTCACCCGGCTTTCTTTTCTTTCTTTTTTCCCTTCCCCTCCCCTCTCCTCCCCCTTCCCTCCCTTCCCTTCCCTTTCTTTCTCTTTCTTTTTGAGACCGAATTTTGCTCTCTGTGGCCCATGCTGCAGTGCAGTGGTGTGGTCACAGCTCACTGTAGCCTCGACCTCCGGGGCTCAAGCAATCCTCCCACCTCAGCCTCACAAGTAGCTGAGTCTATAGGTGTGCACCACTACGCCCAGCTAATTTTTATTATTTTTATTTTGTAGAGATAGGGTCTCTCTATGTTGCCCTGGCTGGTCTCAAACTCCTGACCTCAAGCAATCCTCTTGCCTCAGCCTCCCAGAGTGCTGTGATTACAGGCACAAGCCACTATGTCTGACCTATTCCATCTCTTAACTTTCAACTTGCAAACTCAAAAAGTCGAACTTAAAAAAAAATACTTTAAATGCAAGTACATATTTAAAATATGTTATATAACTAACAAGAACCACTTGAATTCAATGTGATTCTCATAATTTTACAGGTGTTTTTGGTGGGGAGAAGTGGGGTAGAATATTCTGGCAGCCGGAAGACATATCCCCGGCTTCTTTCTTCCAAGCAAAGCTGAGTGCATTCCTCTAAACCTTCATTTATATAAATAGCAAACAACAAACCATGTTTTAAGTAATTCAATATGCCAAGGAAGTGATGTACTAAAATGTAATTCCTTACACTTCATGTAAATTGACTCATATGTTCTTAGTCAATGCTCTCAATGACTATTCCATTGCAACTGATGGAATGTTTATAGTTATCTGATGCATGCTGACCTTGGTTGAAATCTGAAGTAGGTCACAATTATTAAATTTTGTTTTTAAATAAACTATCAGATGGATATATATTTTTTACACACACATATATATATATTTACAATGAATAACACTTCTAGGAATCAGTCTCATTCATTTTCTCTAATTACGGTGTGATTAAAGAACACTGTTTAGGAGAGACGTGTCATGAATGACGCCTGGCAAATATTCTGCTGCTAATCAGCTGTGTGATCTTGATCTGCGCCAACCAGGCCTCAGCCCATGGTACTAATATTCCTGGATGGAACAAATGCTTTCATTTTGTATTTTGTTTTGTATTCCTCTTACTTCCAATTCTATTATTCAGTGGCTAATATATTTACCTTTTCAAAACTGGACTTTTAACATATTATTATTTTCTCCCAAGTCTTTTGTTGTTGTGATGAGAGCTGCTATGCCGGGCCAGCAGCCCACAGAGGTGCTAGCAGCGTGTTATTAACTAAATTGATCCCGCAGCGCAGCAGCTGCATGACTCTGGGTTGTTTTTCTAGTTAGGCTGATCTTTTATTCATGACTTTCAGGTAAACGCCATTCCTTTTTCTGTTCCTAAGAGGGTTTCTGTGTCTCCTGAATACCTTCTTCTTCCCCCCTGCCATGGTGGGTGTGACAAGATCAGCTGGCTTCCAGAAGGCAAGGTGTTCAGTAATGTTCAAAGAGAGAAGATTATCTCCAAGTTTTTTAAGGAAAGCATTCTAAAGAAAGTGTTCCGTTCACAACAAATGAGGTGGGAGGGGTCTGACGACCAGAAAGGGACTTCAAGTTACACCTTTCCTGGCACCAGAAAGTAAGTTCTGACACTGAAACGTTAACCAAAACTTAAAGTGAATTTGTGATATAAGGCTAGGAAAATAGAGTTACAGAGTATAGGTATCTGAAAAATAGAAAGGCTTATGAAGCAATTCAAATTGCAGAAATCAAGTCTTAAATCAAAACAAAGGAGAAAATATATGATTGAGAATTTATTCAGAAGCACTAGCTGCAACATATGCAGATGTGAAATTCAGTGATTGATGTGTTTATTTTGCTTCCTTTTGGAAATATGTTCATATACATCACTATCATACGTTCTAGGAATAAATAGTTTTTAAACAATATTTCTTAACTATTTGCAACAAAACACTGGCCTCCCAAATAGTACATCGCTATGGGAGCAGAGTGGTAAAGGTTAATTTTTAAAACTTCAAATTAGAAATATTTGCATAGATATTTCTTAAAAAGGAATTATACAAACACAAGAAGGTGTATTTAAGATGAATGCTCATAGAATCGAGTTGTAAATCAGGATAAATTGGCCACTACTGAAAGACAAAGCAGTTGCTCAAAAAGCAAAAACAAAAAAAAGACTAGATTGCTAAACCGTATGCTAAATACAAATTGCTCATAATTGAAATGGAATGTTTCCCATTGACTTAGCATCTTATTTGAGAACAAAACTGCATATTATTTAGAAAATATTGTCCTAATGTTCAAAAAATGTTACATAATATATTGAACAAGATTCTGCTATAGGCTGGGCACAGTGGCTCACAGCTGTAATCCTAGCACTTTGAGAGGCCAACATGGGTGGACCACCTGAGGTCAGGAGTTTGAGACCAGCCTGACCAATATGGTGAAACCCTGTCTCTACCATAAATATAAAAAAATTAGCCAGGCGTGGTGGCATGCGCCTGTAGTCCCAGCAACGTGGGAGGCTGAGACAGGAGAATTACTTGAACCCAGGAGGCAGAGGTTGCAGTGAGCTGAGATTGCGCCATTGCACTCCACCCTGGGCAACAGAGTGGGACTCTGTCTCAAAAAGGAAAAAAAAAAAAGACTCTGCTGTACATGACCAGCCATGACCTTGGCAATTCCAAAGGGAACAGCAAAGGAAGATGAGGACAAATGCATGGGTAATATCAAAAGGTGAAAGATACTGAAGGAGGTAGACTGAAATCGAAGCCTTTTCCCTCCAGAATAATTAGAATCTAAGTAATGTTGCTACTGACATATCTTTGCATAATTCAGGACAATGGAAAGCAATGTTATCTCAAGGTGCTTTCCAAAGTAGTTACGTGGTAGTCAATGTCATCGCCTTTGTTACAGGAGGAGAAACTCAGGTGGGCAGCAAGCCGTGCTTACTGGACTACTAAGTGACTGACCCAAGGCTTGCCTTTGTCTCCTTAGCCCGCCTCGCTTGTAATTAACGCAAGAGTTTGCTAAATGCCTGAGATAGAGAGCATCTGCCTCATCCTATTGTGTTTATGAAAGAATGGTTTCACTCAGGATCAGCTAAAGAGGTGCAGATTTAAAGTAAGGGAAGCTGAGGCTACCACTAAAATCTGAATCCTGGGAATGGCCATAAGATGGCTGGATGTGCAGGGGCCAAGGGTTTGGCCCTCTGAAGATTTGCTGAAAAATCAACTTGCAAAAGGCAGAGTAACTGGGGAAAAGGCATACAGATTTATTTAGCATGTGTTATACATGGGAGTGTACAGAATGAAAATTCAGAAATAGAGGGGAGAGTTTCCAGTTTTATGCTTAGGTTCAACAAAGTATGGACAGCTGTGTAAAAATACGATTGGACAAAAACGGTTTGATCTAATGCTAATAGCCTGAGCGGATGAACCCAGCAAGGCCTGGCTCTCTAGATTCTTCTTGGCCTCTCTGAGCAGTGTTCCTTCCTTCTGGGTATGGGGCAGGGCACTCTCTGGAATGGGAGTCTTTTTTTTTGTTTGTTTTTTTGAGACGGAGTCTCGCTCTGTCGCCCAGGCTGGGGTGCAGTGGCCGGATCTCAGCTCACTGCAAGCTCCGCCTCCCGGGTTTACGCCATTCTCCTGCCTCAGCCTCCTGAGTGGCTGAGACTACAGGCGCCTGCCACCTCGCCCGGCTAGTTTTTTGTATTTTTTTAGTAGAGACGGGGTTTCACTGTGTTCGCCAGGATGGTCTCGATCTCCTGACCTCGTGATCCGCCCGCCTCGGCCTCCCAAAGTGCTGGGATTACAGGCTTGAGCCACCGCGCCCGGCCTGGAATGGGAGTCTTATGACCTACAGTCAAACAAGCTAGGACAGATAATTTCCTTATGGCCAGTTTTTACACAGAAAGGCAAAGGGAAAATTAGAGTAATATTTTTAGGTTTCATGGCTGGCTTTGGGAAAAAAGCATTCTGATTTCTGTAACTTGCATTGGAAAAGAGGGATTCTAGTTTCTCAGGCTAGCCTTGGAGGGAGAGTAGGACTGAGAGACAGGCAGGCAGAAAAAGGTCAGAGAAAAACTTTTGCTTCTGAGGCTATTTCCTAAGGCTTCATTTTGGGGAACTGTTTTCTGAGCCCCAACAGAAAGAAGGTGCATTTTCTTGGCCTTGGGATTGATGTTAAGCTGGGTCTGAGCTGCTGTAGAAAATGACCCACTGTCCAACCCCCTACACTGGGCCAGAGCCAGACCACACCCAAGGGTTTGGAGAGGGCACCATTTCCAAGTTGCTGCTTTCATATTTCACACCACCACGGCCGTGCACATTTAGCAATGAGGGAAGGGCCAGCCATGATTTTGATGCTGATGTCAAAGCATTTGAAAGTCTCCAGAGAAAGGAAGACCAGTTGAGTGGGGGTGATAATATGAAAGGAATGTTTTTAAGAGTAAGTTCTGTTAAGGAAAAGAAAGAATCTTAGAGGATGCATTTATGGATGACAAATCTCAGAAGGACTCTAAGGGATCAGGAATCAGTTTGAGTTCTGAAATAACAGAAAAAAGGCATGAACAGAAACATAAAGCAAGGAAGATGGGAAATGTGTAAGCCAGATATGTGGAATTCACACACACGCACACATAATTTCTGTCTCAAGAACGGGGAACATTTCCCAGCTAGATATATTTGTAGAAAGCAATAGCTGGAAATACATGAACCCCAATATTTACCCCTATTCGCAATTTTTCTAGTAATTGTAAATTGGGAAACATTACATAATACATCTAAGGCTCAGGTTACTCAATTATAAAATAGGAATAACTAGGCTGGGCTCAGTGGCTCATGCCTGTAATCCCAGCATTTTGGGAGGCTGAGCCTGGCAGACCACCTGAGGTCAGGAGTTCGAGACCAGCCTGGCCAACATGGCGAAACCCCTCTCTACTAAAAATACAAAAAATTAGCCGGGCATGGTGGCAGGTGCCTGTAATCCCAACTACTAGGGAACTAGGGAGGCTGAGGCAGGAGAATTGCTTGAACCTGGGAGGCAGAGGTTGCCATGAGCCAAGATCACATATTGCACTCCAGCCTGGGTGACAGAGCAAGACTCTGTCTTAAAAAAAAAAAGAAAGAAAGAAAGAAAGAAAATAAAATAGGAATAACTAGTGGTACTTGCTTCATTGGATTATTAGGCATATACATTGGTTAATCCATATAAAATATTCAGCACTATGCCTGGCATATAGTCACCACACCATACATTTCAGAGAATACTATTTTTGCAATAATTAAATCAATTCAAACATTTATTGAGTGCCTTACCTACTACATGCCAGGCACTCTGTTAGATAGAATATGGGCAGATATCACCTTCAAGATGTTGAAAAGAAAGTGATTGAGATCTTGTAAATGAATAATTATAATGTAACTAAGGGACTGTAAATAAATCATTATAATATAACCAAGTAGGGATCTTGGAGGAGATAGCAACTTACTTCTGTTTTCTTTTTCTTTTTTTTTTTTCTGTATGTTTTCTAGCAATTTACTCTTCCTGAACAATTAGGAAAAATGACTTGTGAGTTTGAACCGTATGACTAAATTTAGCCAGCTTAAAAAAAAAAGGAGATAAAAAGGAGGTACTATTACAGGAAGAGTAACAACGATATATGCCCCGGAGGAGAGGGTTTAGGAAAATTGTAAAATGTCCGATGTGCTTGACATGAAGTGGGCGCTGGGAAGATGATGAGCAGATACCTAAAGGATGGCTGCAGAATTTGGGTTTCCTTCTTCAGGCATTAGGAGGCAGTTGAGCAGGTCTGTATTTTAGAGCAGCAGTATGGAAAACAGCCGAAGGAAGAGAGGGCCTAGAAGGGAAACCTCCAAGGAGCCTGCAAGGAATGAGGCCTGCGCAAATCTTGTCCATTCACTTACATCGATTGTGTTTCTATGACTGTGCTTCTATGTGCCCAGCACAGTTTTAAAGGGTTGGGGATGTAGAAATGAACTAGACAGGCAAGGCCCCTGCCCACATGGAGTCTGATATTCTACAGGGGAGAGACAGGCAATACAAAAACAAACAAGTAAACAGCAACATTCTGAGGAGTACAAAGAAGAAACTAAAAACAGGGTGTCATGAAGTAGAGTAAGGCAGGTGGTAGGTGGGAAGGGTTTCTTTAAAGGGAAGGTCTTTCTGAGGAGAAAATGGAAATGCAGAGGAAAGAGTCAGGAGTCAGGGATCAAAGAACCTGAGAAACCCTTGAAATTGTGTTCAACATGTGGTATATAAGCGCATTTTTATGGGGAGATTCTCAAAGGGGCATGGCCGTGATCTCATCCCCCCATATGATATTTAGTATTCATTTGCTGTACTTACATATAGAATTAATTTTGTTTTAAATTTTTCTCTATATCAAAAGGTGGGGGAGATAGCTATGTAGATATATCTAACTAGATATACAGATATTCTTCCCCCACCCCTCCACTTATTTCATGGAGCTGTAATAAGAGATACGCACTTAGGGGTACAAAATTGGGCTCTGTGATTTAAATGTATCCTCTACATGAAAAAAGGAAAAAATCGTCTTTTGTTCTTCCTATTGAAAGGCCGACGACGGACCTGAAACTGACCTGATGGGCTTGGTGTCAACAAGGATGCCTCTTCTATGTTAATTAATATATTGTAGAAGCATAGATATAACCTTTATATTTTAGCGTAGTCTGGAGGGCTACGTACGGGCGGTGCTCCTGGCTTGATGTGAGCAGGCGGTGGGAGTTGAGGCGGGCGGGCCAGGCCCCGGGTCCCAGAGGCCTACTGGCCATCTTGCAGAGAGTTCAGCCTGGAAAGGCCCAGGGAAGGGCCTGGAGGCCTCCGGAAAGGCCCGGGGAGGGTCAAGGAAGCCCGAGGAGGCCCAGGAAGGCCCCAGAAGGTCCAGGACGCCGAGGGGAAAGTCAGAGAAGGCCCGGGAGGCTCAGGCTTTCCTGCGAGGCCCGGGGCGGCCTCTCCAGGCCAGGCTGGCCGAGTGGGCTGCGCAGCCCCAGAGGGGGCCGTGCGGGGCGCAGGGACAGGGCCTGAGGCTGGTCGTCCTCCCCTGGCGGCGGCGTGCGTCCCGCGGGCTCGGCAGCCGGGTGACCCCCGAGAGGCTCTGCGCCTGGGCGGCCACCGGCGACCCCGCGGCCCGCGAATACCGGTGGACCTGGTGGAACGCGAGGCCTCCCGGGGCGCCCCCGCTCTCTGGTAGTTGCCGGGAGACCCGGCCGGTGGGGAAGCCCGCGGAGCCGCAGCCCCGGCCCCGGCGCCGGCAGGTCTCTCTGGGCCCTCTCTGGGCCCCGCCTGGGCCCTGGGCCCGACTCCCACCCCTGCGCCGGCCCGCGGGCTTCGCAGTCCCTACACCGCCGACCCGGCTGCGCTCGAGGCTGCCCGCCGCCCTCTCTGTCCCCCGCTGCAGGAAGCCCGAGGCAGAGGGGGCGCCCTCCAAGCCGTCAGCCACGCACGCGGAGGCGCTGGGGCCTCGGGGCGGCGCACCAGGAGAGAACGCCGGGGAGGACACTGGGGCCTTCGGCGAGGTGGGGTAAGAGACCCGGCACCGGGGAATCCCGCACCCCCTCCTGCTACCCCTGGAACTGGGCTCCCCACCCAGTCCGGCCACAGCTCAGGAGGAAAAGGCGATTCCTCTTCCCGGGGGCCTCGCAGCTCCCTGAGACACGCGCCTTCACGCACTCCAGCCCCTAAAGCTCCTGTCCCCCAGCTCGCAGTACCCAAGGCGTCCTTTGTCCCCAGGGCCGTCCCTCGGGTGCGGTGGCCTTGTCCAGGAACTGGATGCCCTCCTCCTTGACACACCCCCAGTGGCCCCAGGCAGCGCCACCTGCTCAGCCACGCCTTCCTCCTGCATTCAAACCCAGTGTCTGGCATGCACACACCCGGTGGACCAATACCGGCGTTGGCTGAAAACCGACCTAAACTAAATCTCCCATTTCTTCCTACACTTTTAAGTAGGGGACAATCAATTGTAAACGATTAGCAGATAGACCGATTAGTGCGGTGGCTTTAATTTGTAATTCTTGGCCAGGCGCAGTGGTTCACGCCTGTAATCCCAGCACTTTGGGAGGCTGAGGCGGGTGTATCACGAGGTCAGGAGTTCAAGACCAGCCTGGCCAACATGGTGGCTTGAACCCGGGAGGCAGAGGTTGCAGTGAGCCGAGATCGCGCCACTGCACTCCAGCCTGGGCAACAAAGTGAGACTGTCTCAAAAAAAAAAAAAAAAAAAAAAGTTATTCTTTCCAGATAGCCATACCTTAATGCAGTGACTTTTTTGCTTGTTACCTTAGAGTTCTCTAATTCTTTTACTTTAAACGGCAGTGGGTTAAAACGTTTTAGGTACCTTGACTCATTGGTGTAGAAAATATAGTTTGGTCCTGGGGGCGATCTGGTGTCTCTGAAATATGCACGAGGTGCTTGCCTGGCCTAGTTGTAAGGGTTCAATCCTGCTTTCAAATGGAGCAATTGTTTTGAATGATTAAAAGGAGACTTTGTGCCCCTGTTTTCTAAGTTCTGGATAATTCACCATAGTTTGTTCCAATTTGTATTTCATCTTCTTAGCTGGTTATTTACTTTCTCACCTCTGATCCGAATTTCCTCATCTTGTTCTGAGATCTGCTAGTTTGCTGTTGTCTGTGCTCCTTTTGAGTCAGGCTTGCCCCTTGTTTTTGGTTGGTTTGGTACTGTCACCCTCACCCTGCTCGCCTAGCCCCTCTCTTCTGCTTTCTAAGCATTCTCTTACCTCCTTTAGATGGGAAATCAAACTCACACTTCTTCTTTTTTATAAATGTTGACCCTTACTCATACATGTGCCTGTCCCACAATCTGTATAGGATTTTAAGGAAACAGAGCAGCAGCTACAACAAAATGGGGAGAAGAAATGAGACCTGTGGTAACAGCCTACGTGTGTCAAACGTCTCTCAGGAGGTATGGCAGGCGCTGTTGAACTTGAGTGTTTGGGCAGCGGCTCCTGTTGCTAAGACAACTCCCTTGGAGTTTTCTTGCAGTGATGTCCTTGCTGCTTTTGCATCGTGGGCAGTTTATCCTGTGTTTTCCTTTTGGCACGTTTGGAACGGCAAATGGAAATTTTCTATTTCTTTTAACAAAGGAAAAATTAGTCAGCTCTTCTCCAAATGCCAAACATTTCAAGTTGCAATTTTGCTTCATTAAAGGTGCTACCTTGTTTTCCACCAGGCAGTGCTCACTTCCTTTGTTTTCACACACACGCCCTTTGTGAAAAATATTGGTAAGGCAGGTGGGATATCACAAAGCATAATCAAGTCCCAACTCTTAAGAAATTTGCACACTGTCAGACTTCATGTTTAGTTAATGAGCCTTCTTTACCAGTTGATCAATTTGGTTATGTTAATTTTTTTTGTTGTTTTTGGTTTTTGTTTGTTTGTTTTGGAGACAAGGCAGTCTTCCTCTGTCTCCCAGGCTGCAGTGCTGTGGCAGGATCTCGGCTCACTGCAGCCTCCATCTCCCAGGTTCAAGCGATTCTCCTGCCTCGGCCTCCCGAGTAGCTGGGACTACACGCATGTGCCACCACGCCGGCTAGTTTTTATATTTTCAGTAGACACATGTTGGCCAGGCTGGTCTGGAACTCCTGACCTCAAGTGATCCACCCGCCTTGGCTGCCCAAAGTGCTGGGATTACAGGTGTGACCTACCCATGCCTGGCCTGGTTACATTCATTTTATTTTATAACTGCAACAACACAGTTTCATCAACTGAGGATGTTTCTTTCACATGTTCATTTCATACAAGAGTACCAGGATTTATATAGCTGAAAAAAGCTTAAAAATCCACCAGATATCGTAAAAAGGTTTGAAGGGGCACATCTCACACATGAACGTAAAAACCCAGTCATCATGCTGTGAACTACAAAAGGATCTTTTAAATACAAATAACTGGGCCTCACCCTCATTCTTTTTTTTTTCCTTTTTTGGAGACGGAGTCTCACTCTGTCACCCAGGCTGGAGTGCACTGGCACTATCGCAGCTCACTGCAACTTCTGCCTCTCGGGTTCAAGCGATTCTCCCCTCAGCCCCCCAGTAGCTGGGATTACAGGCACCCGCCACCACACCCAGCTAATTTTTGTATTTTTAGTAGAGATGGGGTTTCACCAAGTTGGCCAGGCTGGTCTAGAACTCCTGACTTGAGGTGATCTGCCCGCCTCGGCCTCCCAAAATGCTGGGATTACGGGCTTGAGCCACCGCGCCCGGCCCTCACCGTCATTCTTTAAAATCAGGATTTTTTTTTTCTCAACAATTATTTTTAAAAACCTCCCCAGGTGATGATTCTCATGTAGAGATTAGCCCTTGTACATATCATGCCAGAGAGCAGAGTATTAGTTGTATTATATTTTTCATAAATCTGTAGATAAAGATAATCTGCAGCCTCCCTTCCAATGTTCAACTACCCTTCCCATCAGGAGATATCTCTTTGTGGATAAATTAAATCCTCATGCTGTTTTGAAGCTTATTTCTCTCTGTTCCTCCTTAATGAAGAGATTGTATCTAATAATACCTAACATTTCATTTGCTTAGAGTTTCATTTACAATGCTTTTTTGAGACAGAAAACAATTGGGTTCATTCCTAAAAATTTACTTTCTTATAAACTAATCACCTCTTCACTTTCTGTTTTCCAGAATAAATTGTTACAGTCTTGTACACACCTGCCACATTTTCCTCCGTAGTGCTCTGCACCTTGTCTGGAACATAAATACTCTGTTGTTAGTACATTTCCCTTTTGATTTTTGGCTTTCTTTTGAATATTTCGTAAGTGTTTCTCCACATCTGGAAGCCAGAATGAGTAGTGGGCTGGTTAGTGTTGAATATAATGTGAGGGTTACAGACTTCCTGTGGTTGATGGAAAGATTTTTATATGCTTTCATTTTTTAAATTTTATTTATTTGTTTATTTATTTATTTATTTTGAGACAGTCTCACTCTATGGCCCAGGCTGGAGGGCAGTGGTGTGATTGCAGCTCACCGCAACTTCCACCTCCTGGGTTCAAGCGATTCTCCTGCCTCAGCCTCCCAAATAGCTGGGATTACAGGTGTGTGCCACCACACCCGGCTGATTTTTGTATTTTTATTGGAGACAGGGTTTCACCATGTTGGCCAGGCTGGTCTCGAACTCCAGACCTCAGGTGATCCTGACCTGCCCCGGCCTCCCAAAGTGCTGGGATTACAGGCATGAGCCACCAGACCCAGCTTTTTATAGGCTTTTAGATCTGATACTCAGATATAGAAAGTTTGATTAATGCACAATTGTGTTCCAGAGACACACTGAACAGGACATTTTATTCCATTTTAAAAATCAATTTTGAAAACCTGTGTGTTATTATTTTTAACAAAATGTGAATGAAACCACAAATTATTGTAAAAGCCTTTCTAATTCCTCAACAATAGGTGTTATCAAGCTGATAAGGGCTTGGTTAAGAGAAAATTGCTTTCTCCTCAAAGATGCTGAGAAGTTCTTTATAATGAGGGGTGAGAGTCACGAAGCTTTGTGCCTTTTGTCATACTTTACCCAAAGAACGTGTGACATGATTGAGGTTTTTATGTTTTCTTAATGTTAAGTTTATCCTAAAACAAATATTGTTTTAGAACTTATCTCACTGGAATTTGGATTCAGAAGTGCCTGTTCCTGAAAACAAAATCCTCCCAGCTGGAAGGGATAGAGCAGCAGGTGGTAAGAAATCGTAGATGTGTATACTTATACTGAAAGAATCACTCATATTAAAAGGGGGTTTGTTTTGAATATAATCAGTTTTATGTAACTATTAATTGTCATTTTTTATACACATTTCAGGCAAAATTAACAAGGTAAGGATAAATGTTTGGTTTTAAAGTATTCATAAAACATACTATTTTAAAATTATAAGTATGTTCTTTAAAAAAAATTTCCTTCCTGAAAGTTAAACTTTAAATTTCATTTCTGTAGAGTTCTTCACACAAGTCAAAGTCAAATATTTTACAGAGTTTCAAATTGGTTATTACATTAATATTTTGTCATATTAAGTATTTTTCAGTATAACAATACTATAAATGAAAATTGAGTATCGTCTTTTTTAGTTATTGTCAAAAAGGAAGTAGTCCTGTCCTTTAAAATGTCTTGAAGCAGGCTGGGTGCAGTGGCTCACGTCTGTAATCCCAGCACTTTGGGAGGCTGAGGCAAGTGGATCACTTGAGGTCAGGAGTTTGAGACCAGCCTGGGCAATATGGTGAAACCCCATCTCTACCAAAAAAAAAAATTAGCCGAGCATGGTGGCACATGCGTGTAGTCCCAGCTACTCGAGAGGCTGAGCTCAGCAGGAGGATCGCTTGAGCCCAGGAAATGGAGGTTTCAGTGAGCCAAGATTGTGCCCCTGTACTCCAGCCTGGGTGACAGAAGGAGACCCTGTCTCAGCAACAAAAACAAAAAGTCTTGAAGTAGTTGAAATGACCAATATCTTGTTCTGAAGTAGTGGAAAATTAATCTTTTTGTTTATCCTTTTTGATCAGAACATAAAACATTTAACTGCAAAATAAAGACAATCTTAATGATATTCAAGTCTTATTAACAGTTTAGTTGGTATTTGTAATAAATAGGTTATACTAATTTTTGCTGAAATCAGTAAAAACAAAATATTTCTTTATATATAAACAAAGTATCATTCAATTTTACCATGTATTCCTTGATTAGAACAAGAGCTGTACATTGTTAGAACAAGAATAGGGAACAGAGATATATTATGTTTAAAAGTCTTCTGCTGCCTTATAGAACTATTTGGAAATTCCAGTGGAGCAGCCGATGCCAGAACCTAATTTGTCGGCACATACTCAAAAAAGTACACAGGTGGGATTTGATTCATCATACCCTTAAAATATTACATTTTAAAAATATATGCAGCTACTAAACGATTTCCCATTATTTTTCTGTCATCAGAATAGTAAACAAGGGATCTTTCAATTATGGAATTGTGCTCTTAATGAAGGAAGTACCATAGAGAAGAGGTAAGCGAATAGTTATTTTGTAACACCCTAAATTACTGAAATAAATTTAAAATACACATGAGATAACTACTTGGAATACAAGGACCATGAACCACCAGAAGAAAATAGTATTCTGTGGGAATAGTGGGCAATGATAGAAATCCACCCTAAAACAGGAAGTGGCTGCAAATACCACCAGACAATTAGAATAGGTGGGAATCAAGAGTTTTACTATGTTCTGACAATGAAGATTTTAGATGGATAAAGTATGGGCTTCCTGTTGAAAGCAACAGGAACTGTAATAGGAAAGTAGTATTGCATTCCAGGGACTATGTTAATTCCTTGTATGTAGCAGTTCATGTAACTCACAGCTGACCACGTAAGGAAGGCAGTTATCATCATCCCTGTTTTACAGTTGAGGACGCTTGAGGCATGGTGACAAGTAACTTGCTCAGAGTCGCACAATATTAATGAAAGGTGGAGGCCGGGCGCGGTGGCTCAAGCCTGTAATCCCAGCACTTTGGGAGGCCGAGACGGGCGGATCACGAGGTCAGGAGATCGAGACCATCCTGGCTAACACAATGAAACCCTGTCTCTACTAAAAATACAAAAAAATTAGCCGGGCGAGGTGGCGGGCGCCTGTAGTCCCAGCTACTCGGGAGGCTGAGGCAGGAGAATGGCGTAAACCCGGGAGGCGGAGCTTGCAGTGAGCTGAGATCCGGCTACTGCATTCCAGCCTGGGCGACAGAGCGAGACTCCGTCTCAAAAAAAAAAAAAAAAAAAAAAAAAAAAAAAAAAAAAAAGAAAGAAAGGTGGAACCAGGATATGAAAGTAACCTGGCTCAGGCTCATAGACATTACAGTATATCGCTTCTCAGACCTTACCTGAGGTTTTTTTTTGTTTTTTTTTTTTGTTTTTTTTGAGATGGAGTTTCACTCTTGTTGCCCAGGCTGGAATGCAAAGGTATGATCTCGGCTCATCGCAACCTCTGCCTCCTGGGTTCAAGTGATTCTCTTTCCTCAGCCTCCTGAGTAACTGGGATTTCAGGCATGGGCCACCATGCCCAGCTAATTTTGTATTTTTAGTAGAGACGGGGTTTCTCCATGTAGTCAGGCTGGTCTCGAACTCCCGACCTCAGGTGATCCACCCACCTTGGCCTCCCAAAGTTCTGGGATTACAGGTGTGAGCCACCACGCCAGGCTGCTTTTTAATTTATTATTATACTTTTTTAAGTTCTGGGATACATGTGCAGAACTTGCAGGTTTGTTACATAGGTATGGTGGTTTGCTGCACCCAACCTTACCTGAGTTTTAAATCTTTTTTATTTTTTTATTTTTTTTTTTAGACAAAGTTTCGCTCTTGTTGCCCAGGCTGGAGTGCAATGGCACGATCTCAGCTCACTGCAACCTCCGCCTTCCAGGTTCAAGCAATTCTCTGCCTCAGCCTCCCAAGTAGCTAGGATTACAGGTGCCCACCACCACGCCTGTCTAATTTTTGTATTTTCAGTAGAGACGGGGTTTTACCACCTTGGCCAGGCTGGTCTTGAACTCCTGACCTCGTGATTCACCCACCTCGGCCTCCCAAAGTGCTGGGATTACAGGCATGAGCCACCGTGCCCGGCTCCTGACTTTTAATTCTTATTTTTTGATTCTTAAACTTTGCCTTGCATTAGGACTAGCTAGAAGGCTTCTCAGAAAGCCAGGTTACTAGTATTTGGAAATGAACGCTTACTGAGGACCGCTTTGTGGCACTTCACACAGCGTCTTTGCTCACGGTCCTGAGTTTCAGGGCTCTTCTGTGTAGTTTAGCAGGAGAGTGGTTCACGTGCTATCAGCCATGTCCTAGTCAGAGGGTTTTACCTCTGTGAGGCCTGGGGTGAAGTTCACTCTATGTTAAAATTCAATGGGGAAATCAAGTTCTATGGCAGTTGTGGTGACTGATGACCTAAAGCAATGTTGGTGCTGATGGGGATAAAAAAGGCTATTTTTATGAGAAAAAACCTCAGCTGGGAAAACGTATTTCAAGATAAGTGGTCAAACGAAGTGAATTGAATTTTATCACAGTAGCAGAGGAGTGAACAAATGGAGGCAGTAGAATGCAGTGGTTAGGACCAGGGGCATGGGAGTCCACCACGTGGAGTCACTTCCAGCTCTCCCACTTCCTAGATGTGTGACCTTAGCCACTCTACACCCCCGCTTCCTTATCTGTTCAAGGTGGAAAATAAAAGTGCCTATCTCATGAGGTCGTGAGGACTGAACAGAACAATGTGTTTGACGGGCATTTGCTATTAATACTGGATAGGTTTAATAATGTTGCAGAAATGGAGGTTTGGTATCAATGAAAGATTTTTCTCCTCAATATACCATCAACAAGTAAAAAGAATAAAAGTAATATCTTAGTGTTTAACATTTTGCACAGCACATTCATATAAATTCTCTTGCTTCTCAGACTACCTTCAAGGTAGGTATTATCATTTCTATTTTGCTCACTCACTGGTAGCAAAGGGGTTCAAACCTAGGCCCTCCCCTTCCGGATTTCACACTCTTCATACTACATGTACGTGTCTATTAACACTTGTAGATTTAAAGTGATTTTCCTGTGGTTTTTCAAAGGCAAGGCAGTATACCTAGTATTTAGCTAAATGAGTATTTTTTCTTTTTCTTTTTCTTTTTTTTTTGCAACAGGGCCTCATTCTGTCACCCAGGCTGGGGTGTAGTGGTGCAGTCGTGGTTTACTGCAGCCTCCACCTCTGAGGCTGAAGCGGTCTTCCCAGCTCAGCCTCTGGAGGAGCAGGGACTACAGGCGCGTGCCTCCATGCCCAGCTCATTTTTTGTAGAGATGAATTTTGCCGTGTTGCTCAGCCTGGTCTCAGAATCCCAGGTGCAAGCAATCTGCCTGCCTTGGCCTCCCAAAGTGTTGGGATTACAGGTGTGAGCTACTGCGCCTGGCCTCGAAAGTATTTTTCAAAACTTTTCCAGATTATTTTGTTATCTTTAATGTCAACTGGCTTAAAAAGAAGCAAGAGGATATCAAGCCTATATGTCAACTAATGCATCAAATCTTTCAATCTCAGTATTTCTAGTTATCTTTAAAAAATAAAAACTAACTAGAAACTCAGTATTCTATGGCTTTTTTGTAGTTTTCATTTTACCATAATACTTAGAATTACTCCTAAAATAGAAGAGCATCATTACATGAAAATTACTAGGGACTATATCTGGGATAATTTTTGATAGACATTGTTCGCTTCCTTTTTTGTTACAGTAATTTTTACAAACCACAGTGGCTAACATAGAAGGCTTTTTAAAGTAACATAATTACATTCTTTGAGTTTCCTTTTATCTAATTCTGGATCAATAAACATTTCATTTTAATTTCAGTTTGAGTTAGATATCCTCATTTTCAAACCTAAGAATTGCATGTACACTATCGGCAAACATATAGTTATCCACCTTTAACCTATTGTCTATCCACAGCCACAGTTAGCCATTTTAGGTGTCATAATCTAGTCACCTGTGCTTGCACAAAGGGATGCCTAGTTAATATTTTAATTTATATTTTAAAAAATTTATGTAGTTGTATATTAGAGCATTTTTGGAAACTAACATATTTCTGTTACAGGTAGCTAGATCCACATATGCCATTGGGAGCTACACATTAACCAGCCTTTGATAAAGGGTACTTAACCTTATCATTTTCATAGCATTTTAATTCTAGTCAATAAACCATTCATTGAATTATTTTTTAAAGGGAATTCAAAAAATCTTCAGTGGAAACTGGCTTTAATGTAACCAGTAATCCTATCAGGGTCTTCACTCTGAGCCACCCATTCACAAGCACTTCAGCTGATGAGCAGGTTGGTCCTTACCCTGGACTGCCGGTGCCACTAGGTCTCTGCTGGCCCCATGCTGATGGAGACTTTTTCAACAACAGAAATGAGATTCAATTTAGTTCATGTTCAACTATAGAAAACAACGATGGTGAAACGTTACCTGCTGCAAATTGGAATTTGAAACACGGAAGCAGCAGTGTGGAAGAAAATTTAACAGATGAAAGTGACTTATCAGAAAATGAGAAAGCAAATGATACTTTACTTAGCTCTTTTAAAAAGGTGGACCTGAACTTGAAGCCAGAAACAATAAAAAATGTTGAGGAACCTTTCACCGAGGAGCCAAATGAAGTATTTCCATATCCTGATTTTCTCCCTCCTGCTTTCAGTACTCTAGACTTGCACAATTTAGCCCTCTCCAAATCTGACAATTGGAAAGCAACAGTGGAACCTGCAGAAAGCTCTATTGAACACTTGATAACTCGTTTACTGGAACTAGAACGATTACAACATATGACTATTCAAAAAGAGAGGCCAAGACTACCAGCGACTTTCTGTACTCCAGCAGTAACTGAACGACCCTCTTCCTCCAAAGCTACACCAAAAGCGAGACAGCTAAAACTTTGTGACTCTTTGAGTCTTCAGATACCTTGTGTAGATAAAAGTCAAGAAAGAAGTAAAAACAACTCTGGTTCTTGCAAACTTGAGCAAAATGCTTTAAAATGGAATTGGAGCAATGCTGGCAAATATAAATGGAATACTAGACCACCGCCTCTAAAAAGTTCTTCCACCACAAAACAATTGACTGAAACTTATAAGAATCCCAAAAGTTATATTTTAAATCCATGCCAAGAACTTTCATCCAAGCCTACTACTGGCCAAACAACTCAATCACTGCTTAAAATGGTCTCCACAAGATGTCTGCCATCGAGGTCTCTAATGCCAGTTTCACCTATACCTCTGTCTTTTCCCGAAAATCAGAAGGAAGAAATTAAGGCACCGAAGAGAAACTTTGGGACCAAAAAGAAACTTTACCGACAAAATACAGTGTTGAATAGACCGTTCTCTATTCAGAAGCTAAACTGTTTGTCACCTTCCCTTATTGCTAAGGATAAGTGCTGCTCACCCATTGAACAAAAATAACTCTTTTCTTTCACACATCTCAGTGTGAACAGATCTATTCTAAGAAGCCCAACTAAGATATGGTTAATTATTCCAAGACACAGGTACTGTTAACAATCCCCCAAAATCACCAAACGGTTGCTTGATGTGATATGGAGTGGAACTTGTGAAGAGCACTGCTGAGATGTCTATATATAAACCCACAGGCTTCTATACTGACATATTTGCATGTTGTGTTTCAAATAAATGGTTCACTTAGTAGACTATTCTATTCAAAAGGCTATTGTTTTTTCAGTGATTGTTTTCCAGCATCATTCCATCAATAAATGGTATAATTGACTTATTGCAGCTATAGTTCTTGTTATGTAGTCATGAGTTGATTTTTTAAAAGGTCTTTCCCACTCTGGTATCATTTTTTTTTTTTTCTTGTGCCCTCATCTCCACAGATCTATCATTTTGACCTATCCTTTGGGCATTTACTTAGCCCTTAAAAGCTAAAGAAGTTGTTGTTCTATTAATGTACAAGATCCTCTAGATCCCCCTAGCTCCTCCCAAATCCTTAGAAATTTTCTATGTCCCCGGCCTTTCTTTGTCATATACATGAAAGATTGTTCTCTTTGGGGCCCAACTATAGGTTTAGGCATGAAATAACCCTCTTCCACTCAGACCCAGTATTTTTTAAATGTTGAAGAAAAAAATGGGTAAGATCACTGTTCACAGAGCAGCCAAAATGTCATGTTACTAGAATTTTTTCCAGGCTCTGCACTGCTGGAAGTCTTTTTTTTTTTTTTTTTTTTTTTTGAGACGGAGTCTCACGCTGTTGCCCAGGCTGGAGTGCAGTGGCGCGATCTCGGCTCACTGCAAGCTCCGCCTCCCGGGTTCCCGCCATTCTCCTGCCTCAGCCTCCTGAGTAGCTGGGACTACAGGCGCCGGCCACCGCGCCCGGCTAATTTTTTGTATTTTTAGTAGAGACGGGGTTTCACTGTGGTCTCGATCTCCTGACCTTGTGATCCGCCCGCCTCGGCCTCCCAAAGTGCTGGGATTACAGGCTTGAGCCACCGCGCCCGGCCACTGCTGGAAGTCTTAAGGCTGGTTAGTTGAAATTCATTCAGCCAACACATAACTCATTAACTAGTGAAAAAGGAAAACTACATGACTGACAAACTTACTGCCCCTAAGAATCAAGGAAACAAAATAGAGTCCTAGCTTCTATTGCAGGCCCTCTGAAACACAGTCTTTGGAAGTGGGACCCATGGACACACACTATAAACAAACATTCTAGGTGATTTTAATGCAGGTGGTTCTTGGATCATACTTTGAAAGATGTGATGAAAGGATTGATGTAACATACATAAATCAGGGGTTCAGATATTTGGGGATATACTGTGTTTGGGTTTTAAGTGGATGGTTGGTGAATTAAAATTAATTTTTCTAAAACTTTAAAAAATACACGATTAAAACTTCAACCATTACCCAAAGGTACCAAATGAAAAGTAAAAGGCAGCTGGGCACGGCAGCTCACACCTGTAATCCCAGCACTTTGGGAGGCTGAGGTGGGTGGATCATGAGGTCAGGAGTTCAAGACCAGCCTGGCCAAGATGGTGAAACCCTGTCTCTACTAAAAATACAAAAATTAGCCAGGCGTGGTGGCAGGTACCTGTAATCCCAGCTACTTGGGAGGCTGAGACAGAATTGCTTGAACCTGGGAGGTGGAGGTTGCAGTGAGCTGACATCGCCTACAGCCACCGCCTGGGCGACAGAACAAGACTCCGTCTAAGAAAAAAAAAAAAAAAAAGGAAAAAAAAAAAGGCCTCTCCCCCCATAACCCCACATACAAAGACAGCCACTAAATCTTTGGGTATCATCCCTCCAAATGAGATGGAATATTTGAGTTAGGGATGAGTGAATTAATGGATAATTCAAATAAATGCTGAAGAGAACAACTGTAGCTTTTCCAGCTTTAGTAGCTTAAGGCTCAAAGTTTTCTTAGAGGCAGGGGTCACAGAGAGCATGCTTAGTTTTTAGTTTAATTTCAAAGAATTTTCTAGAATCAAATAGCACAGCAATAGAAAACAAACAATTGCATAATGAAATTTTACCTGTATGTATCCCAATCAGTCTCATTAATCCAAAGTGGTATAATATCCCTCTCATAAAAGTATATGCCAAAGTAGACTTACATTTTCACTAAATTCCAACTCTCAATGACCCGTTTCCCACAAACCATCTTTAATTCTTACAATTCCTTCTAACTTGTGTACTGAACCTTTTCGACAAGCCCGCTGTTTCCATTCTCATTTCTACTTTCCTTAGCAACCTGGATTCTTCCCCTCACCCCGAGGGTCATGATGTAATTTGTATTTGTAAAACCTTCAGAAAGGACATGCCTGTTTTGCTGGCTACTGTATCCTGGCAGGTAGTACTTGACTACCAATTGTCATGCATGACATAGTGGTTACAAGCACTAGCTCTGTCTCCAGGCTGTCTAAATTCAAACCGACTCTTGCCACTGAACACCTCTGACACCTTCAGCAGTTTCCTTAACCTCTCTCGCTTCATTTTTCTGATGTGTAAAGTGGGTAGACTGTCTTTATCTCATGTAATAATCATGTGAGGGTTAAATGACTAGCAGCGAAAGTGCCTGGCATATACAATTATTCACAAAATAATTAGGGAAGAAAGAATGACACAGGAGGGCAGACCATCGTGAGAATGGACGTCCTTAGCATTAGTTAGGTGCAGGAACGGTAATTCCTAACAACGTCCTGTTTCTTGCAAGGCATGTGCCAAAGCACACGGAAATGGTATGGTGCAACAGATACAAACCCTTCCAGTGAGACTAGCAGTGGGAATGGGCATGGAGATGGGACTGGGACCAGAAGTGCAAGTTTTGTAGGGATTAGAGATGTATCATCTCCTTTACTCTGTAGACTGACGGGGGAAAAATACCTGGTTCCAACAGGTGAAGTTGGACCCACTTGTCCACGTATGAAGTGGACAAAACTGGAGACATGAATACAAAATATTTGGCTATTTTTCATACTTGGTGGAAGTCAACGTCCACTATTATCTTTGAAGAAGAAAACATTTGGCAGTTTATAACACACATGTAAATTCTGTTCAGGAAAACTTAGACTTGGTTTGCTCATAAATTCCCATGTTTAGCTCTCCAGTCATTGATGGTTCTCAGCTCACAGGATCTTCATGAGGTTGAATCTTTCTAATTAAAGTATGTGTGGCCGAGTGTGGTGGCTCACCTGAGGTCAGGAGTTCAAGACCAGCCTGGCCAACATGGTGAAACCCTGTCTCTACTAAAAATACAAAAATTAACGGGGCGTGGGGGCAGGCACCTGTAATCCCAGCTATTTGGGAGGCTGAGGCAGGAGAATCACTTGAAGCCAAGAGGCAGAAGTTGCAGTGCGCCGAAATCATGCCACTGCAGTCCAGCCTGGGCAACAGACTCCATCTCAAAAAAAAAAAAGAAAAAAAGAAAAAAAGTATGTGCGAAAGGTCCTCAACCAATACATCCTGCACACTATTTTCCCTAAAATATATCAGATATGATAACCTCATAGCCACTTTAGATGGTTATGCAGTCCAGGAAAATTATAACTGGGGCCTTTACATGAAGACTATCCAGAGCCAGTGCCATCTGACCATTTCTTAGCCCGGATTCAACCAGACTAGCTTCTACCTGCCACTCTGTGATGGTTAGCTCCGACAGGGTGGGTGGGTGAGTGCATTCTACAAGGTCATTCTGACTGCCTTCCTCCAATCCTGCTTTGCATGCACTAAGATTCACAAACTACACTGTCTTATTTTACTCACTATTTTGAAAAGCCGAAAACAGTTCCTTCAAAGAAGAAAATAAAGAGTAGGTAGACGGAGGATAAGAGCCCAAGATTTGTCAAGCTATCATATGGGCAATGAACCAATTTGTTTATCGTTATAAAAAAGGGAGTTGGCTCATTACTTATCTATGTTTCCATTACTAGGAAAACCAAAGCAGAAACGTATGTAACAGGAACATGAATATAACACACCCTTTGGTGTACACTGCACCTAATGCTCTGAAAATGTTTTGATGTTTGTGAGGAAAATCTGAACTCAAGCAAAGAAAAAAACCAGGAGACAATATGATAATAAGAGGCATATTTTATTCAGTTTCCCAGTAAGTCAATTAGAAACATGCGCTGCTAAAATGCAAGTTACAGTTCAAATGGTACCACAAATAATTAGAATATACACTGAGCATTTTCAGAAATCAGCTTCCATATCTTGATCACTAAATGGAAAGGTTCTTCAGAACAGTCCCTTCCCCTATATACAGAAGGAGAAGAAAAATTAAGGATGCCATAATGACATCTATCAGAATAACTGGAAAACATTTTAATTTAGCATACATTATTGACATGTAAAAAACAAATGAATTTGTCATGAACATTTCTATAAGGAAGACATTCCATTAGGAGGAGAATGATAAAATTCATGTTGAATATATGCTGGAAATAGGATACTATTAAGAAAGAAACACATTTATGAAGCCCAATTGGAAAAGATGTCATTATAACTAAAGGAGGAAAATTACATTTGAATATATGGCTGCTTTCCTATCTTCAACATTCAAAAGGGCCATTTCTTAACTAATTTGCCTAAATTTTATCATGTGTGATTCCTTTGTTTCATCTCAGAGATTTCATTTCTATCCATATAGCTAGAGTTCTGCTTACAAATGATAAAATACAGGTAAAGCATAAAAGGAATGCAAATATGGAACAAAACTGAGAACATTACATTTCACTTCCTCTACCACATACCATAAAACATTACATAAATATTTCACATTGAAAAAAAGTCCTGAGTACTTATTTTTGTTAGGAATAAAGTGGTACTTAATAATGGCAAAACATTTCTATTATTTTAAAACAAAATTTTGAGACAGTGAAATGAGATAGCTATTGGGGAATGAAGAAAACGGGATGCATTAATAACAATTTAAGGGTGAATATAAGATGCTCCCCCTGCTCAAAACCTCGAAATTCCAACCTCATTTCTGATGACCTTCAAGAATAAAGTCTATCCAGAGTGTAAAAAATGTCTATGCTTTCTAGATCTCAACTATTCTCCCAACCCTAGAAAAAACTGTAGCATCTTTGAATAGTAGTCCATACCTAAGACTTTTATGAGTCCTCAAGTCTGACAATCACTTGATACCATGTTTGCCATAAAGTATAATATGGCAAAAACTTTATGGCAGATAGCATTTGAAAACTATACAGCTACTCTAAAAGATGAATGCAAATTTATTAAGGAGCATTCACTAAAGAAATTCAATCTAGTAGGTCTTG